CCTTCCTCCCTTCCCACTTCTTCTCTCCTCTCTCTCTCTCTCTCTCTTATCTCTCTGTCTCTGTCTCTCTGTCTCTGTCTCCCTCTCTCTCTCTCTCTCTCTCTCTCTGCCTCCCCCCTACTTCCCACCTACTTCTTGTTGAAATCAGTGGTAGTATGAGAATCGACATTTCCTCCCTTTTTTTGTATCATGGCATTTGTCTTTCTGTACTTGTGTAGCAAGGACTGTCCTTGCAAGGACCCCATTAGTGGTCAGCTGGGTATAAGCTATATGGATGCATTCTACTAATGCAGAGAAAGTTTTATTGGAATGGAAGGAGCCCTGAGCTTGGTGTCTGACATTGTGGATTTCAATGCTGGGTCCAGCCTCTGTTGGCTGTGTCCTCTCTAAGCTCTGGCAAGGCCCACAACCTCTCTATGCCTCAATCTCAAAACAAGATCAATACTTCATCATGTAGTTTTAGTGAGTGTTAAACAAAATAGAATTGGTGTGACCAGTGTGTTGATAACTGTAAATTGTGCTTTTTAAAATTATTTTTTATTTTTTAAATTGTGCTTACCAAAGAGACTGTTGGCCTCCCCTGGCCTCTTTAGAAACTCCAGGGAGGATGTGAATCTGTATGTAAAAGCTTGAGCTTCATTCTTGCCCCTGGCACTGTGTTCAGCTGCAAATGGCAAGCATTTTACATTCTGGAGGTAGAAAGCAGATGGGGTGGGTGTTGCTGACAATTAGCAATTGTCCAGTTGTGTCAGTTGTGATTCACAGATGCTTTGGAAAGTCTGACTCTGGAACTCAGTGGTTCTTTCTAGTACACATACAGGGTTGCTAACAAGGAGATATGGAGCTTTGTGCCATAACGCTTATAAGAAAGAGACCAGAAAAGTCCCAGGAGGAGTAAGAGTTGCCCTCCTCCTTGTCACATGCAGGTCTGTTGTTACTGCGTCATATTGGGATGCAGACTACAGAGCTTGCGCCTAGTGTCAGTATTTGCTGGAAACAGTGTGTGAGATTAAATCAGGACATTTGCACTCAGAGTGCCAGAATACAAATGCCAGGGCTGCATGTGTTGGTGCTTTAATGTCACTTTGGAATGAATTCCTTCTGTTGGGTCCATGTCTTTTGAGTGCATTCTTTTTTCCCCTCCTCTGACACAAAGTCTAGAAGAACTTGATAACAAGTGTGTATCATATGTAAAAGACCCATTCAATCCTGAAGTTTAAAACTTCTAGGAAATAGACATGGGTGTGAGAGGATTGACAAGAAGGGAAATATAGCCTGAGTATAAAGGATGAAAACTCTTAATTACTATGCAACTCCCCAAATGATGAGTGATCTAATATGTACCCCAAGTTTCTGTCTTGTCTTGTTCATTTGAAAATGTGCTTAGTCTGCCTAGTAAGACCTGAGTAATGAATCGAGGCTGAGTGCCGTAAAATAACATACCCAGCCCTGATGTCACAGTGACGCTTTGCAATTGGCAGGCTCCCATTACAGTTAGCACAAAAGACATTGGTGTGAAGTTTTGCCTCTTGTTTCCTTCTTACAGATTGCTGAACAGAGGTTTGGAATCAACATCCCACACAAGTTCAGTGTCCACAACTACAAAGTGCCAACGTTCTGTGATCACTGCGGCTCGCTGCTCTGGGGAATAATGCGACAAGGACTTCAGTGTAAAAGTGAGAGGCTGAGGTGCCGGGTACCCACTTCCTCATGGGAGCACCATGCCACAAACTTTCAGAGTTCCATAGACTCCGAATCTGACCCGGCACTGATGGTTTTAGCTATGTTGTCAATTAACATCATATTCCTTGTCAGGCGTGTAAAGAGAACTACATCGACACCCAGATATTCTAATGATAGAACATTCAGCCAGATGTTAAATTCAGTGATCTAGCTAGTCAGCTTTCAAGACTAGACATTGTGTTTTTTTGTTTTTGTTTGTTTGTTTTGAGTTGTAGTCTCACTCTGTCTCCCAGGCTGGAGTACAGTCATGGCTCACTGCAACTTCAACCTCCTAGGGTCAGGTGATCCTTTCATCTCAACTTCCCGGGTAACTGGGACGACAGGTGCACACCACCATACCTGGCTAATTTTTTTGATTTTTTGTAGAGATGAGTTTTCACTATTTTGCCCAGGCTGGTCTTGAACTCCTGGGCTCGAGCGATCTTCCCACCTTGGCCTCCCAAATTGCTGAGATATTATAGGCATGAACCACTGATAGAGAGTGGAGGTGAGGTGGGGTGGAGAACACAGAAGCCTTGACTGTGAGCTTGCGTCTCACTAATAGTGCCCAGTAAAGCCAGGGTTTAGAGCTTTTGCCTTCACAAAGGCTCTGAAGGGGTGAGGGCTGTCCCCTGTTGGGAGCTGGGGAACTGTTGGCCTTGAGTCATCTCCATGGAGATGGCCATGGGTTTCACCAAAAACCTTATCAGACATATCCTGAGTCACCAGGGGGAGAAAGACAAGGGATGTAGTAGAGATGGTGTGAGTGCAACTGGACAAGCTTACTTCTGTCAGCAAAAATGGACTAGTCACTTGTCTTTTTTTTTTTTCTTTTAAGAACCAGGGTCTCACTCTGTCACCCAGGCTGGAGTGCAGTGGTACAATCATAACTCACTACAGCTTTGAGCTCCTGGGCTCAAGGGATCCTCCTGCCTCAGCCTTCCAAGAAACTGGGACTGCAGGCATGCACAACCACGCCTGGCTAATGTTTTTTATTCTTTGTAGAGACAGACTCTTGCTATGTTGCCCAGGCTGGTCTCAAACTCCTGACCTCAAGCAATCCTTCTGCCTTAGACTCCCAAAGTGTTGGGATTACAGGTGGGAGCACCCAGCCTCATTTGTCTTTAAGAAGGGAAAATTCTTCAATCTCTCTAGAACACCATTTAATAATTCTCTTTTCATATGACCAGAAGAATAGCCAGCTCATGTATAGCTTTCAGGGAGCTGGTTCAGGTGCTGCTTGATTGTAGCTCGGTGGTCTCACCTGGGTGTAGGACAGTCCCTTTCTGCTTTCACATGGCCATTGCAGAGCCACGCCTGGGACACCTGGGACTCCTCTGCACTGCTCTTGACTTTGGCAACCTAAGGACAGCATACCTGCAGTGATCCAGGCCTGTCTGTCATGTTTGGTTTTATGGCCACATGGTGATTTTGAAAGGTCCCCGTAGGCATGTGTGTCTCAAGCTGTGTTCCTAAGAGAGGTGGATTGCCCATGAAGTTAATGATGCCTGTTCTCAGGGCCCCTCCTGAAGCTTCCACTTGATTTGGTCTTCTTCTCCTCCTCCTCCTTCTCCCCCCACCCCCAAGAGGTTGGGGAGTGCAGTGGCATAATCATGGCTCATTGTAGCCTCAACCTCTTGGGTTCAAGCAATCCTTCCATCTCAGCCTTCCAAGTAGCTGGGACTACAGATGCATATCACCACGCCTGGCTGGTTTTTTGATTTTTTTGTAGAGACAAGGCTTCACTATGTTGCCCAGGCTGGTCTTGAACTCCTGGGCTCAAGCAATCCTCCTGCCTCAGCCTCCCAAAGTGCTGGGACTATAGGGGTGAGCCACCATGCCTGGCCTGGTATTCTTCTTAAAGAGGGCCTCCTAAATTACACAAACTGAGGCCCCACCAAACCAGAATCTGTGCATGCTTCCAAAGATGGACTGATTCCATGAAACAGGAATTTGTTGCTTGATGCCTCAAGTTTCCCCTCCTGGCAGCAGGGCCTGTCTCAGAATTTCCTTCTGCGGCTGACACCCTTTGTTGTCAACTGCTGACAACCTTTGCTGTCCCAAGCCAGGTCTTGCACCCCAGGAGCTTAGCTTGCTATGCTCACCTCTTCCAACTGCCATTAACTCTGATCTTCAAAAAGTTTTCAAAGGTACCTCCCCCAACCCCAGGCCCCGTGAAGCAGTTAGAACCACAGGCTGTGAACCACAGCCCCACAGGATGCCGGTCTCTGTGCATGAGGGCCGCCCAACCACAACAATAGTCAGAAAGAAAAGTTTGTGGGAGACTTCTCTTAGAAACGCTGTCTCCATCCTGTGTGAGCAGCGTTGTGTATGTAACGCGCAGACCGCTGCCTTTATTTCACTCATGAGAGCTAGAAGGAAAGGAATGCAGTCAGTTGACATGATTCTTTGTTATTTATTCTTTTTTTTTGAGTTGGGATCTCACTCTGTCACCCAGGCTGGAGTGCAGTGGCATGATCACAGCTCATCACAGGCTGTCCTCCTACCTCAGCCTCCTGAATAGCTGGGACTATAGGCACACGCCACTATGCCCAGCTAATTTTTTATTTTTATTTTTTGGTAGAGATGAGGTCTCACTATGTTGTCCAGTTTAGTCTCAAACTCCTGGGCTCGTGCAATCTTCCTGCCTCTGCCGCTCATAGTGCTGGGATTACAGGCATGAGCCACCACACCCAGCAATTATTTATTATTTAATTGCCTGTGAATTTTAATTTCAATTTTTATATTGGATTATACCAAGTCAGTAATGACTGTTCCATGTGGTTCAGATGAATGTTTCCTTGAGTCAGGGTGAAAAAAATGCACTTGAAATTGGTTCTTCTTTAGGGTGCCAGGTTCTCTGCTTCTGCATGAAACAGAAACGAGTAAGATGTCAGGATGTATGACTAGTGTGTTTAATTTTGTGAGAAAATGACATTGTTGAGCCTATGTAACTCCTCTGTCATCATCTTCTGGGTTATTGAAGTGCTCTGCGGCGGCACATGTTGGCCTGGTTTCTTTCTGAATGTGACTTCTGTTATTCTTTTACTCTAGTATGTAAAATGAATGTGCACATTCGATGTCAAGCGAACGTGGCCCCCAACTGTGGGGTCAATGCCGTGGAGCTAGCCAAGACCCTGGCTGGGATGGGTCTCCAACCTGGAAATATCTCTCCAACCTCGGTGAGTCTTGGCTTTTTTCACAAATCACAATTTGGAAGTAACATCAGAGTGGCATCATCAGTGTTCCTAATCTCAGCAAATATAGCCAACCAACATATTGCATTTTTAAGAGCTTTTTGTTCCATAAATAAGAGTGTATGTGCAGTGAATATGACAAGAAATAATGAGCATGTAGATATATAAGCAGGAAACAGGGGAAGGATCTTGCTTTCTTTAAATCAGCTTCCTGTGAGTGTGGTCTGATGGACGCCTAGAACCTAGAGGCCTGGGTTATGCTCTTGACCGGGGCAGGGTGGGGCAATTGACCGGTGACTATGGGTCTCAGCTTTCTCATCTCTAAAGGAGTTCAACTTGACAACCTCTGAGGTTCTCTGCAGCCCTGGAAGCCAGCAGTTTTGCAGCTTTTGTTTATGGATTGTGAATTATCGCTGCCATTCAGCAGCAGACAGGAGTTCCTTCCTCTGGGCTCTCAAAAGTGGGCGGAGTTGGACCAGTCTCCCTGGACATGTTTTTGCTTTGCAGCCTCCCAGAATGACCTCCATCTGCTGTCATCCAATGGAGGCACAGCCTCTTCCCAGGCCCATGTCCCACTGCTGCCTTCCTGGTCAGGGTCTGCAGATACCTGGGAAACATGGCTATTCGATCTGAAAGGTGTAACTTGGTACCTTGTTCAGGAAAATTCTAGACTTAACTGTTAAATAATCTCTGGGTACTGAGGGAGGAAAATGCAGTCACTGGAAGGTTCATACAGTCTGGAAAATGTCAGTATTAACCACCTCATTTCCTTTACGTAGAAAGGTTCCTGCTTAGTAGATGAGGGCCTTTTGTTGACAATGTGTTTCTTGATTTCAGGAAGGCACAGAAGAGTCCAGCTAGTCTGTCTGTCTTGTGGCTAGGCGGGCAGGATGCTAAGACAACAAGGGGGATTTCTAATGCTTGGGATGATCCTTCCAGAAGAGCGGATATGAGGGATTTCAGCCTGAGCCAGGGCTTCTAAAATATGATGGGAATAGGATAGGCCACATGACACAATCCTTAGGAATGGGCAGTGCCACTTGTCATTTGAACCAAGTATCCTTAGTATATGATATTTAATAGTGGGAAAAACAAAATTAACTGGCATTTGACAGTATAATATTAAGCAGAGAGAATTTTTAAGCCTGTCAAAAGAGAAGAATGGGTTAAAAAAAATTGAGAAACACTGGCATAGAGTTTTCTAGCCAGTTCCAGCCCAACTAGAGGAAGTAATTAAGTGGAGGAAGTGAAATTAAGCTGGTACTTTTTTATCTTTAAAAAACTTATGATGAGAGATCTGGAAGAGAAATGATTAAAACCTATGGATTTTAAAGACGATCCATTTTATAACTTGCTATCACTGCTTCATTGAGTTAGTAAAATCCTTGTAGTTTAGGCTGCTGCAGGGTTAGTTTATTGTAAACATTGCCTAGAAGTTGCCCCACATAAGGCTTTTTAAAAAAAAATCTAAATAGGCCAAAAGTTCAGGATGTTGAGACTTTTTTTTTTTTTTTTTTTGAGTTGGAGTCTCACTCTGTGGCCCAGACTGGAGTGCAGTGGCCGCTCCCGGCCACCGCAGCCTCGACCTGCTGGGCTCCGGCGATCCTTCCGCCTCAGGCTTCTGAGTAGCCGGAATTACAGGCGTGCGCTACCACACCCAGCTGCTTTTTTGATTTATTGTAGAGATGAGGTCTCGCTGCCCAGGCGGGTCTCGAACCCGCAGACTCAGGCAATCCACTCACCTCAGCCTCCCAAAGGCGCGGGATTACAGGCTGAGCCACCGAGCCCGGCAAGACTTTTTTTTTTTAATAGAGATGTGGGGTACAAGTGAGGATTAACTAGTAGGCTGCATGCAGGTGCAGTTTGGTCTTCTAACTGGCCCTCGATCCCCCTGGCAGTATATCAGGTACCCTTTGTGTTATCATGTGCTCCCCACCCTACTCCCTCCTTCCTTCTCCTAGCAGTATCCAGTGACTGCCTTTATCTCCTTTGGGTTAATGTGACTAATGTTCAGGGCCTGTGGACTTTTGATCTGTTGTCTAGTGGTAGCTTATCTTTTTTTTTTGAGTTGGAATCTCACTCTGTTACCCAGACTGGAGTGCAGTGGCATGTTCAAGGCCACCACAAGCCTTGACCTGCTGAACTCAGGCGATCCTTCCATCTTAGCCTTCCAAGTAGTTAAACTACAGGTGTGTGCTACCATGCCCAGCTAATTTTTTGATTTATTGTAGAGGCAAGGTCTCACCAAGTTGTCCAGGCTGATCTTGAACCCCTGGGCTCAGGCAATCCTCTTGACTTTGCCTCCAAAAGTGCTGGGATTACAGGCGTGAACCACTGTCCCGGCAGTAGCTCAAGGTGGACCATCTGCAAAAGTCCCCCTGGCTTTAGGGCGTGTCCTCAGTGTACGCAGTGGGATGGAATTGAATGACCGACAGAGGTGGCCATACTTCCTTCCCATTCTGTGTAGTGAAACTGGAACTCTCATTATGCTGAGCAGAGTGTACATTGAGTAGTCTTTGTAGAGGGCAAGTTGGCTGTGTACCAAACATTTTCAAAATTAACACTTTGGCACAAGGAACTCCATTTGCAGGAAGCTATCTTAGAAAATAGATGATGATAATGATGACAACATAGCCTAAGTTTATAGGCTATGCCAGGTACCAGTCAGAGTGATTTATATGCATTTGTTCGTTTACTTCTCTTAATAACTCATTTGGCAGATGCTATAGCCTCCCCTTTGTCAGAAAAGGAAACTGATGCAGGGAAAGGGTGGGTAGGTAGGTACCTTACTTAGGGTCACAGGTGAGGTGTCAGAGCTGTTATTTGAGTCCAGGCACCTTGCTTCAGAACCTGGAATCTTAATCACCCTGTTTTGAAGATTTGCATGCAGGTATGTTCACTCTGGTGTTACTGACTATAGTGAAAAACGGGAGATGACTTGCATTTCCAATAGCAGGGGAATTAACACATAAATTGTGATAGTGTGATCATATCCATAAAATGGAATATTGAACCATGAAAACTCAAGTTCTTGAAAGATATTTAAAAGTATGACAGATGTACTTGACACGTTTTTAAATGAAAATGTGTATGAGGAAACAGAAATTTGCTGACATTTCTAAAAATTAACCAAGTATAAAAACATGCATTATTTAAATATATGTATGTGTATTATATATGTGTGTGTAGATATATGTATGTGTGCATATGTATGGGGGTGCCAAAAATGTATACACATTTTAAATATGACGTTAGCTCAAAAGATGGCATTAATCAAATGCATGCTAGCGTCACATGCAACAGGCAGCACAGTCAAAGAAAATGGTGGAAGCATGGTTGAGCGAATGTCATACTACACACTGCTACCGTAATTTAATTCAACTTAAAAAAGTAATACTTACAGATAACATCTTTTAAAATGTGTATACTTTGGGGGGCATATATACACATACACATAGATATTTGAAAGGGGCTGGTGGATTGGGGGAATTTTAAATTTTATCCTCCATACTTTTGGTCATTGTTCCAATACTTACGTTGACTTTTTATTTCTGTTATATGGTTCAAAATGTGTAAAAACCATTGCTTTGTTCACTCGTTTAGATAGTTAGTTGGTTCTCTGAGCAAACATGAAAACTACTCTTTGTAAGAAGTGGACACGAGGTGGCGCCCTGGGGCTCTGACCTTCCTGAGGAAAGAGACTGGAGGGACCAGAGGAAGGCACTTGTGTTGCCATGAGCTTCCATTTGAGCACAAGCTGTAACTCCATGGCTCAGATGTATTTGTACACGATTTTTTTATACAGAGTCTGGACCAGGAGCTAATGCCAAGGCAGTTCCAAGTTGCGGAACCTGCTCATCGTCAGGCTGAATTAATCTTTCCCCACGTGTGATGCTGGAGCTTGAGACTGAGCCTGCTCCCAGCCAGTGGGTCTTCTTCTTCCCCCGTAGGTGCTTTGATCTCATGCTGCCATTTCTGACTCACGGTCTCCCCACTCTTCTTTGCAGAAACTCGTTTCCAGATCGACCCTAAGACGACAGGGAAAGGAAAGCAGCAAAGAAGGAAATGGGATCGGGGTGAATTCTCCCAACCGACTTGGTATCGACAACTTTGAGTTCATTCGCGTGTTGGGGAAGGGGAGTTTTGGGAAGGTGAGTCCTGGCTTGAACTGTCTGGGTTGAAGTAGGCAGGTTATGCTTATGGTGTGTCTGTGTATGTCCCCTCACGTTTCTTACACGTCCTTCTCTTCGTCCCTTGAGTTCCCACTCCCAAGAGGACTCCCGCATGCCTTTCCTCTTGCCTTGACACAGGTGATGCTCGCCAAAATAAAGGAGACAGGAGATCTGTACGCTGTGAAGGTGCTGAAGAAGGATGTGATCCTGCAGGACGACGACGTGGAGTGCACCATGACCGAGAAGAGGATCCTGTCCCTGGCCCGCAACCACCCCTTCCTCACGCAGCTGTTCTGCTGTTTTCAGACCCCTGTGAGTATGAACCATGTTCACGACCCCAACAGCCTGTTTTCTTAAAGAGCTGAGACAGCAAGATGTTGAAGATTTCATTAAGTTGAGTATCAGAAACCATTTTGGAATGGGTTCCCAAGGCAGGACCATATGAAGGCTTTTGTTTGTTTGTTTTTAAATCAAGGTCTCACTCTGTTGCCCGGCTAGAGTGCAGTGACATGATCATGGCTCACCGCAGTCTTGACATCCTAGGCTCAGGGCCTCGCAAGTAGGTGGTCAACTATAGGTATGTACCACCACACCTAGCCTTTTTTTTTTTTTTAAGAGAGAAGGTAGCACTGTGTTTCCCAGGCTGGTCTTGAACTTCTGGGCTCAAGCAATCCTCTCACCTTGGCCTCCCAAAGTGCTAGGTTACAGGCATGAGACACCATGCCTGGCTACTGACAACTCTTGATGACCTCTGAGGTAAAAATTGAAATTAGTGAATTCAGCCCTCCCTTCTTGCTATTCTGGGAAAGGATTGCCTTGAGGGTGTGTGTTCTAGGATTGGAAAGCATGTCTTCTCTAGGTGAATGGAGGTAAGTGAAGGTTACTGAAGGCTAAGAGTAGAGCAAATGCCATGAGCTGACTATCTTGGTAAATTTGGCCATGACTCTGCTCCTAAATGTTGGACTGGTTCTGACCAGGGCACAAGAGTTTGGGAGAGGGGTCTGAGAGGGCCCAGAGGGGGCACCGTGATTTGGAATAACCTAAGGCATTGCTCCTGGCCTTAAACGAAGACCTATGGCCTGGTCTTGGAATTCGAATCTCTGTCCTATGATGGTGTGCATTTAGGGGTGCTTCTGGCTGCAGTTAATGGAATGCCTAACTAATAATGATTTAAATGATAAACAGAAAGGATGTATTTAGGTCGTTAGTTTGAACATTTTTCTTGTTATTTCACATAGTGAGAAGTCTGGTGGTAACAAGGCTAGGATTGGATTTGTTGCTCAGTGACATTGGGCATGACTTCCCCTTGGGGTCTCAGGGTATTTGCTATAGCCTACACAGTACACCTTGACATGAAAGCATCCAAAAAAGAAAGCAGAGGGCAGAGGCTGAAGGGCTGCGTGGATCACTCTCCTTTTATCAGGGAAAGAAGATGTAGATTTGGGCCAACTGCTTCTAGCATCAAGGAAGGCGGGAAGAGCAATGATGTAGCCAAGATAAGCTGGTGTGCCATGATTGGCTTACACCAACCTTGATTCATCCCCTGGGGCAGGGCCTTCTGCTGCTCATTTTGATTTGGGCTTAAAATTGGGCTGATGGTATCCATGAAGAGGGAAGATGACTCCTAAAAAGGCACCAAGAGGGTCTGCCTCCATTGTGCCAGAGTACTTGCTATCAAAAGGTATTCAGGGTGAGTGAATTCTGAGCACAGTCCTTGGCTCTGCTGCCATCAGGGACGTAGGGGGTGCCAGAGGAGCTGGATAGGGTATCTGACCTGGCCAGGGATGCTGGCAATACACTTCTTGAGGGAAGTAATGGCTAAGCTGGAACCAGCGCGGTGAGTTAGAATAAGTTAGGCAAAAAGAATGAAGGTGAACATGCCACACAGTGTCCGCAGCACATCCGTGGGTCTGGTGATGAGGTAAAATATCAGGTGCGAGTAAAACTCAGCGCACACAGTGTCTTGAGATTGAGGAGGGGCCTGGTAGGCTGAGACCAGGCTAGCCAGAGCCATGCAGGCTATGTTAAGGGATTTTAGACCTAAGAGCAATGGAAAGTCATGGGAGAAATTGAAGCAGAGAAAATGTCTTAACAGTTGCACTTTGTAACTATGAAAAACGAATGTCTTGCAGTAGGTGTTATACATATTCTCTAAGTATTCATATAATTTTTCTATAAGAAATAATTATTACTCATTTTATTTATAGCCTTTCAAAGAATTTTTTGCATACAAAAGCATATAGACACACCATGCATATGCAGACATCTTTATCTTAAAAAACACACACACAAATGACAGTGTACTTTGCCCATGATTCTTACCTTTTTTTTTTTTTTGACAAAGATATCATAGTTTATTTTGGAAATTATTTTGTATTTGTATATACCTATCTGCTTCCTTTTTAATGACTGCATAGTATTCCATTTTAAGACCATGCCACCACGATTATTGAACTTATTGTCCATTGCTATGTATTTAGTGCACCTAGCCTTTTATTTCAATCAGTGTTGCTGTGAGTTTTCTTGTACTTTTATGTTCATGAGCTTCTGCTGGTGTTTCTACATGACACATTATTAGAAGCAGTATTACTTGGTCAAAGGGTATGTGCATTTCAGGTTTTGATTGAGTCCAATTGCCTCCGTCCCCATTGTAGCTAAAGACAGCTGGCATTTCATGGCCTGTATACCAGACATTGCTCTAAGTGCATTATGTCTGTTAGCTCATTTCATCCTTACAGTTGCCCTATGAAGTAAGTTTTGAACATCACCCCATTTTACAGATAAGAAAACTGAGGCACAAAGAAGTTAACGCCCAAGTAGCAGAGTGGGTTTTGATGTGAGGCAATCTGACTGCACGATCCAGGCAGGCTCTTAACCACTCATTGTACCACATGTCTACATTCATACTCCGAAAACTTGACGAGAAGGCCTGTTTCCCCTACCCTCCCTTCACAACATGCTATCATTTTGATGATTCAAAATACTATTAATAGAAAAATGGTGTCTTTGGAGTTCTCACTTGTGTTTCTCTGGCTCTGAAGGAAGCTGGGTTTTCTCTTATATTCAAGGGTCGCTCGTGTTCACATTTGTGTTGGGAAGGACCCATGAGCAGCCTGGGGGATGGGTAGAGCAGGGGGGACTGGAAGTGGGAGACAGGAGGATGCACTGGAGGGGATGCCAACATGGACTCTCACCCTGCCCCAGCATATGGGGAGAAAAAACTGGGGAGGAAGCTGATGGCCTCTTGGGCCTTGGCATCCCATGCACTCCTTCCTCCCCATCATGGTCTGTGCTCTCAAGGCCCCCTCTCCTCCCCATTAGTCCTCAGTGGCTTCTGCAGGCGTGAAGCCCATGTTGTCCCTGTCACCCTGCTCTAATTCTCTGCTTTTTCTCTGAGGGGCTCCTTGGTTCCTGTAGTGCCCCAGGTCCCCTGGCCTGCTCTGCTGTCTGGAGTATCCTTGGAGAGTCTCCTGTGCCCCTTACTCTGCGAGTGTGAGAGCCCTCCTCGGCCTTCACCCTCGTCCCTGACTGTTTTCCTCGAGAGGAGGGGCTTACAGCTCGGGCTTGAGAGGGATGACTGGTAGATGGTACTGGTTGCCTACCGGGGTTTCGAGCTCTAGCCTCCTGAACCATGTACACCACGCATCAAGAAGCGTGGTCAGGTTACCACTCAGATAGCCTTCCTAAGCCTGGAGCCAAAGATCGGAGGGTTTCCTAGGACGTTAGGTTAGATCATCTGAATGGCTGATAACCTTGGAGTTAGGCCATTGACTCGTATTTGGTGAGCCTAGTCTGGTCATGTGGTGGCTGTTGTTCCATTATTACTGATGAAGCAAGAAGTATCTCCTGTCCAACTCCAAAGGAACTTGACCTACAAAAGGAAATTCCTGTGATTCCACATAAGTAAAGTTCTCATCAGTGATCAGGTAACGTCATAAACAAGAAATTAACCTGAAACAGATCAGCAGTCCAAGGAGTACAGTATATATGATGCAGAATTTTCCAGGGAAATATATCAACTATACAATGCACCAAAATTTTAGCGGCCACATAGGGTTCCCAGTGTTTAGCTGTTGAAGACTTTTTGAGCGACAGTTTTATGTTTGGCCACGGGGTGGCAGTCATTACTACAAAGTTTGTTAATTTTTTTTTTCTCTATTAGAACAAGGAACTGCCATTGGGGTTTAAAATATATGTATTGTAGTATATTTCTCCAAAGCAAAGGGTCAAAGGAACTTCTCCCTGCCTTAAGTCTAAATGAACGAAATGGTGGGAAGCAACTTAGAAGCAGCAAATTTTTCTCGTGCTGAGATAGAGACACACAGTTTTGATTTTACTGTCACTTACACCTTCTTTCAGGCTCACAAGCCATCAGACGGTACAATATGGATAGCATTTGCTCACCCAGCATTCATCTGTCAGTATCCTCAGTGACTGTCTCCATTCAATGTTATAAAATTAAATAAAAAGAACGGAAAATGATAGTTGTTATGAGAAATTTCCAGAAAGCAGATTTTTCCCTTTTAGTTCCCCAGCTTTGCAACTCATGAACTCTCAGGTGAGATGCTAGTCCGTGTATGATGCTGAATTCTTGACAGTCTCCCCTGAAGAGTTTAGGAGTGAGCCGAGGGGTGGTTTGGAGTTGTTCCCCAGCTGCTGCAAAGTCTGATTTCATTTCTGAGGACCCTGTAGAAATGCCATTCCTTCAGCCCTGCAGAATCAGGGTCTCAGAAGCCCATAGCAAGGGGATAACTACCTGAGGATCCCTGAGACTGCATGTGGTAGAGACACAAGTTTAGGTCATGCTGCCTCTAACCCATAGTCCATGGTTGATGCAGGATTGGCTTAATTAAGCACTGCCTGTCTCTCTTGGCCCCCCTCCAACCTGCCCAAACAGAAGCAGCATTGCCCTTGGGAGTAGAAGACCCAAGCTGTGGGTGAGCTTTGTTTTCCTCCATCTAAATGACTCAAGTCTGTCCTAAAATTTCTTTGAACTTTGAAGTTCTCATTGTTAAAATGGAAGCAGAGGCCAGGTGCAGTGGCTTACTGTAGTGCCAACACTTTGGGAGGCCAAGGCGGAAGGATTGCTTGAGGCCAGGGGTTCAAGACCAGCCTGGGCAATGTAGCAAGACCTCATCTCTATAAAAAAAAAAAGTGAAAAAATTAGCCGGGCATGGTGGCATGTGTCCTCGGACTACCTAGCCCCCCAGGTAGTCCCAGCTACTTGAAGGGGCTAAGGTGGAAGGATCATCTGAATCCTGGAGGTCAAGGCTATAGTGAGCTATGATTGTGCCACTGAACTGCAGTCTGCG